TTATGGCGATCCGGGCGGCGCCGTCCCCCGCCGGTTCCCAAAGCATCCGCCACATTGCAGGCCTGAGGCTGCTTTCCACCTGCACCCCACATGCCCACTGCAATCAAGCAATGCAGGACTGGGCCGGACAGCCCCGTGGGCATGGCCCTGACTCCCGAAAGCTCCCCGTTGGCCAAAGCACGCGCTGCCTTCACCGAGACGCGAGCGCCGCAGCGCGAAGTGTGCACTGCGGTGCTTTCCGGGAGCAGGCCCCCCTGGAGTGGGGATGGAATGCAGCCACTGCTGGGGTGGAGGACAACTGCCCGGCAGATAACACTGCCCAGTTGGAAGGAAGGGCCAGAAAGAGACCGAAGAGGGACCGGACTTGCTGTCTGAATCACACACACATACAGCTGGGACGCAATGTGCCGGTGTGGAAGGGACATTACCAGGGGAGCTTACCTGAGCGCTGATACGGGTAGATCCAGCAGAAATGGGTCCTTAAGCGTGGTTAGACACCACCAAGAATCGGCAGCTCCTGCTAAGGAACAGGGCATTCCGGCCAACGTCTTGGTGGACACGGTGCACAGCTGCGGTTCCACCCCATCTCGGTCTCTTTCTGATCTTGTTCACTGGGCTCACAGCCCCCCACCTTAACCTGTGGTGTTAGCTCCGTTCTCAGCCAGCGCTCTCTCAGCAGCCCCCGATTATCCCCTACGCAGCCCCGGAGACGAGGAACGTGACTCAGACACGAAGGCAGGAGGCTTCCTCCCCGTGCAACAGGACAACAGGGAGATGGTTTTGCTTCCTGCCTGAGCCTGGAGTACAAATGGCCCAAGGACTCCAGAGATGACCCCGGGAACAGGAAGGCATTGAGAGAGGAAGCCAGCCAAGGGAACGTCGGAGAGATGCCCATGATTGGCCCTGCCTGGTGCTGGGCTGCAACAAGAGAATACTCTGGGGGTAAAGAAGGGTGATGGGCCAGAGGGAGACTCCAGTTCTGTTTGTGTCCTCCAGCTCCACCTTGCTGCTGGGAACCGGCCATGACCTGCGTGAGAAGACAGAAGGGATATTTTTAAGGCCTCGTTAGCAGTGGGCACCCTGGGAATTCTCAGCCTGAGGTTCCCGCGAGCAGCGCTGGGACAGACTGGGGGCCCCCGAGAAGTCGCCCACGGTTACCCGGGGCCACACAATGCAAGCCAGGGTGTGTCGAGAACTGTTCTGGGGGTGGCTCGGCAGTTATTCAGGAAGCCTTTGGGGAAGGACTGCGTGTCCACAACGGGGCCAGGAACACACACGGCACGTCAGCAGGCCGAGGAAGACCCAAGTCGGGGCCTGATCCTGCAGCTCCGAGCCACCCAAGCGGTGCCGCTAGAACCAACGGGCGCCACCCTGTCCCTACTGAAGTCAGTGACAAAATTTTTGTGGTGGCTTCAGCGGATTTCACCCATCTAGGTGAGTGAAGTCCCCAGAGCAGGCTCTAAAGCTAGGAAGCTGAGGAGAATCGGAGACTTACCCGGACGCCTCGGCAATGAAGCTGGCTGCGTATCAATGGTGGTTCTTTGGTGGCTGGTGGCGATTCTTGCCGCCTGGGCCTGGCTGGGTTTTCATGCCTCATTTTCATTGACAGAAATAAAGCCAATGCACGGTCCGCGAGGCCGGCCTATTGGCTCCCCCGCCCTTTCCCCCACAAGCAATGCGATGGTGCTGGAGAAGCTGCCGGAGCCCTGTTGGGTGGGTTCTTGGGAACGTCTCCGGTGGCCGCATGGGCGTGGGGCAGGGCGCCCACGGAGCCATAGGAAATTCGCTGAGCGTTGAGGGCAAAACGGCTCAGGCAGAAGGCCTGAGAGGGCCAGGACCCTGAGGAATCCACTGGAGCCTCAAGGAATTTGATATCACTGCTCTACTTTCTTTGGCCTATACTCGGGAATGCCCTATGGCATAGGCTTAAACCCGTTCCTCTGCAGAATAGCATGTGCTTCCCCTTCACACGGGTCCTTCCATCGCCTGCCCTTCCCTGGGATTTCAGCGCCTGCTTAGAGCTAACCATGTTCCTACACATGCATGAAAAGCATGAGATGCGTCGCAGCAGTAACGTCATTAAGGAACCTCAGGACCAAACCTGGCCAGCCCTAAAACCCCACCCCAAACCCAAATGCTTCGGGGTCCCGGAGCCAGCCTCTCAGCTGGGCTCCTGCAAAGCGATGCTGTTCTCCATCGGCTGGAAGAGATCGCCCGCGAGGGCGGCGGATAAAGAGTCTTCCACAAGCTAACGCTGATCTGAGGCTTCGGAGGGGGGAAGAAGAGAAAGACACAGACCACACGGGAAATAAGCAGGTAATGGTTTTCAGTGACCTGTCCCCACATTCCTTGTCCGGTTCAAAGGACGGAGACCCAAGCTAGACGTATCAGAGACTTCACCTCCACCGCAGCATTAAGGGACAAATCCTGCCGAGACTTAACCCCCCCGCAATGCCTAGAGTTAGACCCAAGGCAGTCCCACTGCTGCATTAGGTATAAGCCGGGGATGCAGATGACCCTGCATAGGCAAGACACCAGGCCGGAGAAGGAGGGGGAGGTTTGAGCACATCCCGGCCGGAGGAGGAAGGGAGGGGCCCCCTCGAGCAGAGAAGGCGCGCCCCAGCGCGGCAGGAAGAGGGACACGCAGCCACCCCACCGAGCAGACAGTGGCATTGTCAAAGCAGAGCCAAGACGCGCGGCGGGGGGGCAGGCAAAGCGGAGGAGGCGACACCCGTGGCCAAGCTGGGACAGCTCAGGAAGCTGTTATGCCACAAGAATGCCAGAGAATGCAGTGCCCTGGGGAGGGAAGGGCAGCGCCAAGGGCAGGCGGGGCCAGGGCACCTCATGGCTTGCCCTGGAGCTGTCCCTTTGCATGGAGGCCAACGAATCCGACCCCTTGGGGCGGGGCCGGTCTTCCTGTTCTGTGCCTGTACAGCGCCTGGCCCAACGGGGCGCCGGGCACTCCTGCAATTCTAGGGCAGCCCTAAGGTATCTGGGGCCTGTTCCTCAGAGGCGCCGAGCGCCAGCACGCCGGACCTCTGGGGGCTCGGCGCCTTTTAAAGCCAGGCAGGCAGCGCCGCCGGCCTAAGCAGCCGTATGCTGGTGGTTCGATGCCTAAACGCTGCCGTTTGCGTGGGCAGTTTTGCACCGCTAAAGGGCTGCAGGCTTAGAGGCTGCTCTTGAGACCCAGCCTC